GTATCAGTTAAAAGAAATTTTGTTTTTGCCAATACATGTTAGGAGAAATTTGTTTTTTGCATTAGATGCAGAGAAAATAAAAAACCATTAGATGCAGAGTACAACATTTATTTCCAATATCAAATTAGAAGGAAAAACCAGCAAAAAAAAAAAATTGAAAAACCAAAAAAAAAGTAAAAGAAACAAAACCTTACCTTGTTTAATAAGATGAAGAAGGTAGAAGATAACGAGACTTCGAAACTGATTATCGTTTGAGAGAGAGCACGATGATAGGAAAGACGGATGAGCCGAGACAAGGGAGAGGGGTGAGAGACAATAGGGAGGTTTTGAGAGGGAGCCGAGACCATCGCGAGGGTTTGAATGAAAGATCGCTATTTTTCGAATGTTCAACATCCGAAAATACCAAAATCTCTAATGTTGAACATCTGAAAATAACAAATTGAATGTGTTAACTTGCGCCCATTTTCGGATGTTCAACATCCGAAAAACATGCATATTCAGATGTTGAACATCCGCAAAGGGCAAAGTTATCTTTTTTAAAAAAATGCATTATGGAAGATAAAAAAAGGACAGATGAGTAATAACGGAAACTACTTTGTACAACAGTAATAATGTAAAATATAACGATATATACGTAATTTTTTTTTTTTTATTGAGACTATTCTATGGGTTGTAAAGATTACATCCCCAAACTTTGAGATCCAAAAAGTATCGAGGGAGGAAATGGATAGTATCCTCCATGGGAAAAAGGAAATCTTTTATTATATTTAAAATAGAAATCAACCTTGGACTTGATTGGTTGGTCCATGGGAAAAAGGAAATCTTTTAGTATATTTAAAATAGAAATCAACCTTGGACTTGATTGGTTGGTCACTGAAAATGGCAACACCCAGCATCTTTACTAGGACACAAGGTGCGTGGTTTAGAAATCCAAAATTTGATGGTTCAGTGAACTATTCAAACTTACCTATACCCCAAATCTTAAGAAAACTTCCTAAAGTAGACACTTGAAGCTTAGTTAACTCAAATGAGCAACCGACTCATACCCTTAGAAGGCTTGAAACTGACACTTTAGGACACGTTTGTTACATATGGAAATACTAAACTTTTCCATGTGATTAGGTGTGGGAGTTTTTTTATATTAATTGACCTCAACGTACTTTTCACACTAATTGGCAGCCAATTGATGTGAAAGAACTCCTAAACATAATCACATGACCGAGTTTTTTTCATGTGAAAGTACTTTTACGGAAGTATTTCATGCATAGGGCATCTTAAAAACCAAACCTTAAAACTCAACCTAACACATCTCAAAATATCTCAAGATAGACTAAACAAGTTTTCATTTAAGAATCTTTTTAAAATTGACATTGTTGGAAAGATAAGAGCCAAATTAAAAAAAAAAAAACATAAAAAACAGCTAAATTAGAAAAAGGTGTTGTTTGTATAGAGCCGAGGCTCTAAACGATCAAAGTACGGTTCACCTTCAAATAGTGTTGAGAAATGTGGTTTCAATACTAGAAATCTTTGTGATAGCCTTAAAATATATTTTCATCTTTAATTATAAAACTTAAAGCTTTAAAAATAGTATAGATCGAGCAGATCTATGAAAACTTGAAGATCTTGAAAATTGACAGTCAAAAAATGCGTTACAAGAAGCACTATTTCCAAAACTTGAAATCTATTTTTTTCTCGTGTCCATACATCTTGATGTCGAGATCATCAATACAAGAATATTTGAGCATCAAAACAACCTCTTCTAAGGAAATTTTGAGATCAGCTCTAATTTGAGTGTTTAGAGCCTCGGCTCTATGTAAACTTTTTCCATTAGAAAAACAATGGTAATGACAAAAAATACTTAATCATCTAGGGCTAGATGAAGTATAATTGGGAAAGCACCCCCATTTTTTATTCTTTGAGCCGCAGGATATCTCCAAAGGCCTAAATGATGCCCTAAAATTTAAGTGTTCCAAACGACGATTTCGGGGGGCCTCTAAGCCACGATTTTCGGTACTCCAAGCCCCGGACAAGCCAAGGTAATGGGCTCAAAGCCATGACATGGGGGCTGAGAGCCCAATAGCAACTATGGCCCTCAAAAATTTTAGGTTAAAATCATATCGAAGGACTCATTTATATCTTATTAGAGAATCAATTTTATGGATGTAGTGCTTGACTATTTCAAAAATTCGGTAAGGATGTATACGAAATACCAAAACCAGTATTGTCATATTCGCTTTCGAGTCACTTCAGTTTTGTCCGAAAAGCAAAGAAATTCAGCAATTCGGTCAGGTCAGAGGAAGTCTTTGGAATTTTAACAAATGTAATATAAATAAATTATATTTAAATATAAAACTAAATTAAATAAAAATAATGGAAAAGGCAATTATGTATTTTGGCCAAATCAAACTAACGTGGGCTTAAGTGGCCTGAAGCAGATGCATTGGACTTCGCTCTTCTAGCTCTAGGCCGAGAATCCGAAGATTTTGGCCTCTTCAGTTGAAACAAAACGAATCCGTTAGCATTAATCAAAACAAAGAATATAAGGGCTTGATTCACTAGTTCAAATCCTACCAATATGCTTGCTAATTTATAGAAGTAAAAAGGTCATTGGTAAGTGATCTTCCCAATGGCCAAATGTTTGCCATCTTGTAAAAGGAAAATGATAAAATGTTTGCAAGGATGAGCCTAAATCATTTGTGTGCAAGAGCAATATATCATGAAATCATTTATTGACACGGTTTCTCTGCAGCCAGCCCGCCTAGTGCATAAATGTGGGCTTGGAAAATAATATATTGTTAAATATAATTTAATACTAATTTTTAGAGGATATATAATCCTCTAAAAATTGAAAATTAAGAATAATAATTTTAAAAAAAATTTGAAAATTAAGAATAATAACTATATTAAAAAAACATTTGGACTTTTAGTTAACACTTGTTTTAGATGGACCACCTATTTGCATCTATCTTTAAGATGGATACTTTATATTTTTGGACTGCATATTATAGCAATGCAGTCCAGCCCACATGAAACAATTTTTCATCATTTATTAATCAAATGCTTACTTTTTGGGTGACAATAAGCGACACATTGTAGCCATGGTTAATATCTTATATAATCTTAAGATGTTATTTTAGGGTAATGATTTCATGCAATGGTTGTATAATAATATAATGCAACTATATTTCTAGAAAACCATATTTAAATACATTTGTATGATCCCAAATTCTGCACACACACACTCCTTGCATCCCAATAATCAATACCAAAAAAAATAAATTCAATTTGCACTTTAGATATGGTCAAAATGAGTGCCCTCCAATAATGAATCTCGACCATCTATTTCGTGAATTTCAAGATCTAGACCTTTACAAATTCAAAATCAATTTTTTATTTCTACCAGTGTTAATCTAATGATACTAAAGCAATCTAAAAATTTTGAAAATAATAAAAAAATCCTTATAAGGCCTTGATCTAAGCATCCCATTAAATAAATGGCCTATATTAGTTGCGCTCAAAAAACATATTATAGGGTGTATTTTCGAAAGAAAAAGTTTATATAA